ACACACATACACACACACATACACACACATACACACATTGATGAATTATTTGTGTGTTAATCAGATGTAGCTTTCTTTGATTGAGAACATTTTTTTTTCGTGTATGTGAAGTATGAATACATTGATATGGGAATGTATTTCTTGAGATAGACTTTTTTTTTATTAATATATGTATATATTTCTTTTTTTTCTTTTCTCTTTCTTTCTTTCTCTCTCTCTCTCTCTCTCTCTTCCTTTTTCTCTTCATCACGAATTTATTGGGCCATCTGTTACAACGAAAGAATCAATGTATCTGAATTGACCTCAGTGACATTTGGCTGGTTGTATCATATGCCGCAAATAGATGCAACTAATAAATGATGGTACGATTGATAAGATGTTGCACATTGAGTGCACAGACGTGGATGATAATGTAAGCAATGCTGAAACTCGATCAGCTCCAGGAGATCTCGAGAAGCCATCTTTTTCTCGACAGTGTCATTTTTCTCGTAATGGTATTTTGTTTTGTTTTTTTTTTTTGTCAACTTTATTTAATTGCAGAGCTTATGATTAGAGGTTTGTTTGTATGATTCATTTTCCTTTTGAATGATTTATGCATCATAAAAAAGTTCTACATTTATTTTTATTTTGAATCTATTTGAAATAACAGAACCAGTTCTTTATTGTTACAGTTATTGTTGGTAACATTCCGAAAACTTCAGAGTCTCTAGCATCTAGTGCCTTTGATCACAAATCTGTACCAACTAATTCAGGAGAGTCCAGAAAAAGGCCTGCTGGACATTATAGGTTAGTATTAGGCCAAATGGTTTCAATTTTTTGGGTGAAAAAATCAAAAATTTGCTAGCACTTTTTGAATGTTATTATTAAACGGAGCTATCCAAATCATTTGTTTTAATCATAGAGAATTATTCGATTGTCGACTTCAGAAATTATAATAATGGTTTTGCGTCCGGTCCACCATGGCCAGTGCAAAAACGAGAAAAACCTTGGTCAACAGTATGTGTATGGCAAAAGCAGCAACAAATCCAGGCTATCGAGAAAGAGATTAATGTTATGGCAACAGAATCCTTGGTTGGATTACGAAATTGGAGGTTAAATTTTCTGTTTTTTTCTGCTGTCACATACTTTCAACTTTTACATTGTACAATCAATTAATGTTTCAAAAGTTTCTCTGTAATTTGATTGTAGTTGTTTTTCTATTCAGGAAAATAAAATTAGATATTGCATGTGGCTTAATCGTTTACTTCAAAATCCGCTTATGTACGGTTGCTTCAATCTGTTTTTTTTAATGCTGTGTTTTGATTCCTAAAATTTAATGAGCCGTATTTCTCAAAAAACTAATTTCTTTTTTTTCATATCATTGAAGCTCCTGAAATCAATAATAACATCTATGAGTAATATTACTTTATATTTCGAATTCACTGCTTTATTTTAATTTGAATGTGATTAGAAATGAATAGCTTTGTTTTAATCGCCAACACAATATCTAGCAGTCTCTTACAGCTCTGAAAAATATGATAATTTATTCTATCTTAAAAAGTAATAATTTGCACTATCACTCTTTTCTTTTCCGGCATTAAAATATTCTGCTGAAATATATTGTGCGTTTATATTTCATGAAAACAATTTTATATGTGTTTTCAAAAATTTCAGACCGAAATGGTTACAGCGATTTGGTAAGAGGAATTGGATGTTGTTATGGATGTGTTGGTTTTGTACAGTACAAGGATTGCTTGTAAATGGTTTAGTTCCTTCTGCCATAACATCCATAGAACGAAGATTTCAGTTCAACTCATCAACTATAGGTCGTATCATGCAGGTAAAAGGTTACCAAATAGTTGTTTTTAATCTCTTAATACATTATGACTTTAATAAAGATAATTTACTACTAGGTTCTATAAATCTAATTCATTTGCATCATAGGGAGATTTAAAATTTTTTTTTTTAGTTTTACGATTTTGGCTATGTACTTTTGTGTATACCTGTCTCTTACTTTGGTGGACGTCATTCAAAACCGATGGTGCTTGCACTGGGACTATTACTAATGGCATTAGGCAGCTTTATTTTTACAATGCCGCATAATTTCTCAGATTCATATACTTCCACTTATAATGCTCATGAACCGACATTCAGTAAATGCGATTTTTCACATCCATCTTTTGGTAACGTCATATTGTTCTATTTTTCTTTTGTTTTTAGGAAAAGAGAATTAAAATTCACATATAATTTCTGTCTTGACCCATTTCTTGCCGAATATATTTTGCATTGAATGAATAAGTAAATAATGAAAACTATTAGCAGATTATTTATTCCTTCTAAATATCATCAGACAGTCTTCTATAAATTTGTAGCTGATGGAAAATAATGCATATTTATTTTTTTATAAATCCATGAGTATCTGATTGGGTTATTTACTATATTAAATAATTAAACCAAATTATTCCTCCAATTTACTTTGGGATCCTCATTTTGTTCTTTTTCGATCTCACCCAGAAATAGCTTTATGAATAAATATCGCATATGTTGTGGACGTTAACGTGCTTTGAGGAGGGTTATTGGTTAGCATGGGAATTCGTTAACACATTGCAATTTATGAATCATTAAGGAATTTGATTTATAATTATAAGAAATAAATGATTAACATGATTAGCTAAAATATAAATAATTTAATTTTAGTTTCGGGTTTCCGACAGCATATATGTAATACATAACTTACTGTTTGAGCATTTGTTTATTTATCTATTAAGCAAACTATTGTTGAAGTTTCTCTATTGAAAATGCAATCAGATGAAATCAGAGAATCTGCAAATATATTCGAGCAAAATGTTTTAGTTGTGTAATTATTGTTTCTTAAATTGACATATATGTAGGTCGAAAATTACTGATTTTCGAAAGCAGATTTTTTCAGGAGCTAGAACAAAGTATGTTGTGTTAAATAATTCAATTTACTCAATAGTGTCAGCAGCTAGTGCTGAAGCTTTACGAAGTTGTCCATCTCCCGGAAATCAGGTAGTCCATTTTTAAGTTATTAAGATTTCGTTTCAAGCTTTTATACTACTTAAGAAGAAGTTTACATACAGCTTCAATTTTTTAGCCCGGTACTTTTCGATACGTATTTCTGTTTTGTCTTGGTCACTTTCTTCATGGTATTGGTGCAACACCACTATTTACTCTTGGTGTTAGTTACATTGATGAGAATGTCGGTCCAGCTCTTTCATCGCTTTATCTTGGTAATTTTTAATTTTAGTGTTTTAATATTTGAGAACATTTTAAAAAAATTTGTAAACTAAAAGTTCATAATTCAAAAAAGGTACAAGAGACATCAAAAATGTCGTCTACTGTATTTTTAGAATAGGAACATACCCGTAAGTATCAAGCCAATTCAGGTATTTTCTATGCCTTTGCAATATTTGGGCCAGCTTTTGGATTCTTGATGTCTAGTTCGTTTTTGCGCTATCATACAGATTTCTTGCAGTCGGAGCTTAATATCAAGTTGGTTTTTTTGTATTTAATATATCTTTAGTCAGTAATTTTCTTGCATTTTTTGTCGATAGAATATTTTTCAAGGATTTTAAATATCGATGAAACCGATCCAAAATGGGTTGGTGCTTGGTGGATTGGTTTTCAGATAGCTAGTACTCTAGCTTTGATTGCCGTTTTTCCCATAATGGTTTTGCCGAAAGTTCTTCCGGAATCCCTTAAATGGCATCGGTAAGCTTAAGTTTGTCTTTTTTTTCCATATTTGATTTTGATAAAAAAAAAACCCAACTAAAAATTCAGAAATTGGTAGCATGGAAACTTTTGATATATATGATGAAAATTTATCAACATTTTGTTCTTGTTTATAGAACACGATTACATGAAGAGACGATAGCTGGTGCAAAAAAACGTACTCCGGAATGTTGTGGTATTCCGTCAACTAGTAAAACAGTTGCAGTTTGTGGACCACTTTTACCAGCTGATAGTGAAGGTGAAACTTGCATTTACGATAATTATGCGGGTGTACATGCTATCATAAATAATATTAAAAATTAAAATTGTCATGAGATTTGAAGGTTGTATTTCAAAATGAACTAACCATAATTTTAAAATAATTAGCAGTGTTGATTTCCGAGACAGTCTGGTTAATAGCCAAACCTCATTTCTTATTTTTTAAATTGTATTGAAAAGTAACTTTTTTATCTTCATAATGCAACATGAAATTAAAGTCAGTTTTGTCAAAAACTCTATCAAAAATCTCCTGTCTTCTCAAAACGTCATGGAATCATTTTGAACTTACTGCTTATCTTACAATATCCTAGAGCTCTTGGGCTCCAAATTAAATTTCTTAGTTCTTATTTTAAAAAAAAAAAAAAAACTATAAAAAATTGATTTTTAAAAGGCACGACAACTGTTCAAACTATAACAATTGGCGAATCAATGCCAGCACTGCAGAACAATCGTGGTCCAATTTGGTATCACATATGGCTTGATGTACGACATATACCAATAGCTATCTATAGAATAATATCAAATGGTAGCTATATGCTCATTACTTTTGCTATGGCTGTTGATGGTATGCTTTCAATTAAATTTCTATGATTTTTATTAAACAAAACTAAAATTAAAAAATGAAATTCCAGTAATTTTCAAGGTAATATGAAATCAAATTGACTGACTATTCAGTTATCGTTATTTGTCCAAATATTCCTTGCCCTCCATATTTATACATGCTGCGTAATCCATATTGATTATTATTTTGACCTTCGTTTTTAAATAAGATCTTCTGTTTCTTGTTTCTTGCTCTTTTCTTTTCCAGGATAACAGGATAAGTGCCCCATTGAAAGTGTTGCACTTTGTTCACTGATTTTGGTATATCATCTTGATGAATGGATTGTTGTATCTTTTTGCTCGTTCTTCTTTGCCATTCTGTTCTTTCAGTGTCAAAATCTTTATCTGAAATATAAGAATCTGAAAATCTTTGTAGGCATAATGCCTCCTTTGTGTAGTAAAGCTAACAGTTATCTTTTCTATTAAGAAAAATTATGCATATAAACTCAATGTTTCAAAAGCATTTACTTATACCTGTAAGGGTATGTCCCGTTAACCAAATTAGAGTTATAACAACGAAGAACACGACACGGTCCATCATATAGCATTTAATACAGATTTCTCTTCTTATTAGTGGAAATCAGGCGTGGCGTGCGAATTTTCATCTTTTTGTTCTCTTTACATCTTTTATTCATTTATAATTTTGAAATTTTGAAATGTTTTGTATTGGATGGCTGAAAATTGATCAAATTATTCCGTTAAAAATATTTATTCCTTTTGAATTGTTAATGCTATGAAATTTTTTAAGTTTTTCAGAGAATATAAAAAAATTCTCTTTCCGTGATAGAGAATTAACACTTGTTACAAGAAAGGATGAATATAAAAATGGAATGCCTATTGGTGCTGTGAGGGATAAAATTTATGTCATATTTTTTTTCCATTTAACCTGCACTCAGATTGATATTAAAGAACAAGTTGGACAGCAAGAAATGTGGCATGATTTTCATGTGATGCTTCAATGATTTTTGAAATTTATTTGTGCAAAATTTGCAGGATTCATTATAACAGGTGCATCGACATTCATGTCAAAGTATCTCGAACGACAGTTTAACGTTGCACCAAGCAAAGCAAATATGTTAATTGGTATATTTCTCATTCATATTTAAAAGATTCGAAATTGTAACTTGTTCTTTTGGTTTCAAAACTAAAACTGTTTTCAGGTTGTATAATGGTTCCAATGGCAGGAATAGGTACAATGTTCAGTGGTTTTGTCGTTCAACGATTCCGTTTAAGCTGTGTTAAAACTTTGAAATTTTGCATAGCATTGTTAATGTGTACGCTGGTCTTGTCACCAATGTATCTCGTTTACTGTGATCATGATCCGCTTGCTGGAATTGAAGAGCATTATGAAATGGATATGTAAGTTTATGCTCCAAAATTTTTTTGTTAATTTAAAATTTATTGATGTACTGAATTTTTTAGATCAGTTTTAATGATCATTAGTGTCGTATTTAGACCTTTTAAAGACGAACGAAAAATTCTGCTGCATTTTAAATTATATGCTCTAAAATTTAAGGAAGAAATCTAACTTCGAATTTTTTGTCACTTTAGATTTCAAACTTTAAACCTTTAGCATTATTTTACTGCTTTTCTAATTTTCGCTCATTCTATCGATTTTGCAGCGCCTCAAATTCAAATCAGAATAAAAATGCTACAAAGATATTACCTTCTTTAAAATCCATCTGTAATCGTCATTGTGATTGTGTTCCAAGTGAATACCATCCAGTTTGTGCTGAATTTTACAATGATAAGCAGATCTCTTTCTATTCGCCATGTTTCGCTGGCTGCCAGCAAAATTATGAACCGCTCAGAAAGGTTATTTTCTAGAATGTCGTTTGTGTTCTAACTAAAAATGTAGTAGGATTCTAGAACCATAGATTTACAACCTGCTTCATCATAAAAACGAAGAGATTTTCTGAAATGAGATTATGCAACCGTTGCTTCAAAGGGGCGAAGCCCTGAAACAATACTACCAAAATATAAATTTGATATTCATTTCAGATGTATTACAACTGTTCATGTGTACCTGAAAATACTAGGTTTGGATATAGAACTGTCAAGAATGGATTGTGTGAATCGAAGTGCAGAGGGTTATTTGGATTTCTTGCTTTGTTCGCTCCATTCTGTTTTTTTGCATTTGCTGTTGGAGTTCCATTAATTTCAGTAGTACTAAGGTATTGTTAGTTTTGAAATTTTTATGATTGAGCCAAAAAATGTGGGTGATATTCTGAATCTTATTTTGTTTTTCTAATTCCTTTGAAGCAAATAGTGGGTAAACAAATTTTTTAAACGGTTCCAACTTTTTATTATGTACGTTACAATATTTAAAAATTGTGGAATGAACTAATTTTTCTTTAGAACAGTTGATTATGCTGAGCGTTCGTTTGCGCTTGGAATTCAATGGATTTTGGTAAGAGTTATTGGTACCATTCCTGCACCAGTTCTTTTTGGATGGATGTTTGATGTATCGTGCATTCGCTATAATTTGGATGTATGCTCTGGCGAAGTATGCAACTATTCAGTTTTTTTTTTTCTTTTTTAATTTTATGGAAGTCTAGTTTTTCACCTGCACAATTTTCAGCAAGGAAGCTGCATGCTGTATCAGAATGAGCTTTTGGCCGATCTTTTTCTTGCTTTCAGTGTGATTGGTCAGGCGAGTTTTTTTTTTTTTTTTTGAGGAGCAGTTTTGCATTGAAGTTGAACAATTGTACTATAACACAAACAATAAATCATCAGTGTTTTGAATTTATAACGGATATTACTATGAATATTATTTTTGTATGTATATGTAATAACTTTGAAATTATTTAAATAAAATGAAAGCATTCCTAAATTTGAAATTAAGAGGAAAATATATTTCAGACAATCGCTATGGTGTTTCTAATTTGCACATTATTGTTTTTCTCATCACAAATGCGTGATGATCCGTTGCCAATGGAAGCAGTGACTGATAATTCAAAATTGAATCAAGTTAATGAAGGAGCCACAGAAGTAGCAGTAAAGACACAAACAAATATCGTGGGAAACAGTTGATGATAAAATGAATCCAAGTAAAGGTTCATCGTGTACTTTGAAACTTTGTTTTTGTGAACTCTGTGGTGGTGGGTCAGATTTTTATTTCTTATGTTCAATGATGTATCTATTTTAAGGCTTGGATGAAAGAATAATTTAGAACTATTGTTAGTTTTGATTCTTTTTTGCGTCCTATTTGAAGAAATGTAGATTCTTTCAAATTTTTTACCTACTGCCTCAAATATTCTTTAACAAGTATTAATATTATTAAATATCAGAAGATCCTTAATTCGAACAACTCTTAAAGTAAAATTGATTCTTAGAAGGAATTCACAAATACGACTCATTGCAAAAGATACACAAGAGGATACTTGTTAGTTACAATATTAGACTACTTTCTATGCCTTTTCTGCTTCATCATTTGCATTTCCGGTAGAAAATCTCACTGTGATTTTATGCTTTCATATTTATTTATTGCAAACAATTGCTGCTTGTGTGTGTATTTCAGTGCATGAAATATCCTAAGCATTTTTCTTTCTTTTCGCATCTTTCTTAGTTTGTTGCACAGAATAGTGGAGTGAGTGCATTATTAAATCTCTCAATAATTAAAAGTGGATAGAAATCTTTCTTCTTGTTCTTTTCAAGCTGCAATTTTCTCTTTGAAAAAATCTTTTCAATTTCTTTTCTGGAATATGTTCTTTTTTTCTTTGTCACAGAGAATTTTCTCTAGCAAAATTTCTTTCCTACGGTTTTGCTTTATATTGAATTATTATCAGCTCAATGTTTAAAACTTTCATCTTTTAAATCCGGAAAACAATCATGAGCAGTTTATTACCTGTTTGACTGTTATTTCCCGGTGTTCCAAAGTGCTTATCCAACTTTTTTCGTGTATTGATTGTTTAATTATGAATAATGGAATGCTAGGCTTCTTTTTTAGAATTATTTTAAGTCTCTATAATTTATTTATCCTTTTACTTTTATCAAAGGCTTTAAAAATTTTTGTAGGATTCGTGGTATGTTATTTTGAAGTTCATTTATTTATTCATTTCCTTATCTGTATGTATGTTATGTGTGTATCATAATTAAATAAAATGCCTTTATAAACGAATTATTTGATTTCTTTTTGTACATTGCACTTGAATCTTTCATGTCAATAAACCGATTTTAAAGTAATGTTTTATTTCAATTAAATTTTGAAATTTTTACAAAATGTCATTTTAATAGTTTTGATTAACGCTATGTACATATACGCCCTCAAGATTGCGAAGAATTGTTGAATAGGAATTCTAATATACTGTTCTAATAAAATTGACATTAGCAATTTGATTACAGAGAGAGAGGAAGAGAAAGAGAATATCACATTCTAATTAATCTTAGCATAGCTTATAACTCATTAAACTGTTATAGCAATGTAAAATATGCAAATTGCTCAGTATTTTAAAATTTTTAATTCTGAATGAATTGAAATGATACAAATTATAAAAGATGGGAAAATTAGCCATAACTTCATTGTTTCTTTTTCTAGCGTTGAAGTTGAAAGTCACATTTATTTGTCGGGGCATCTTCTAAAAGGGGTGATTTTTTCATAGCATAATTTAATGCTTAATTTACTTATGGATTATTTTTCAAGCATTTCTTATAGTGACGAGATATTAAAATTTTCGTATACCTCATAGCAATCATCTATCATTATCAATTTCTCACAGTAATGTCTAACCAACTCAACTATTCGTTTATTTTGTTATCAATGGAAATTTTGATGGTATTTTCAATCTCTGTTGATATCATTGATATCAATTTGCTAATTCTAATTTGCAGTTAATGAGTAGCAGCTTGGACGATCAACAACTTTCATCGATGCAAACAACATCAGAACTTGGTGATTCACGGAAAAAGTTAGGACAAGTGAAATGCTGCGTACATGGGCGGCCATGTGCCATTGCATCAAGACTGTCACGGGTATTTTTTTTTGTTAAATTTAAAATTAATGCTATTTTTAGAAAAAAAGATAAGTGATCGATGATCTCTTATATTATATTTCAATATTCATACCGCTTCTATGCTCCTTTTTTTCTTTTTACTTCAAAATATGAATTTAAAATTTCAGCTCTACATTTTCCTTCTCGGAATTTATGCCATTTTCGTGAGGAAGTTGCTTTTTGCTAAGACTAAACTTTTTTTTTGGTTACAAAAAGTTATCTGTAAATCTTGTAATGTGGAGAAAAAGTTTTTTCAGGAAAAGGAAGAAGCCACTCGTCACCTTTCATCAAATTCATACATCTCGATAGATTCTGAGCACAGAAGTATTTCTGAGAAGGCTAAGCCACATGTTCATGATGATATTTCGTACAATTTATGCAGAAAGGTTGAACGTGGAAGTATCCGTTCATTTCCTGAAAATTGATTTTTTTTTTGTTGTTAGCAAAATTTAAAGTATCTTTGATAGTTATCACTGTCATGAAAGTTAAATGCATTAAAGTTACAGTAAAAGTATATTTAAGGATTAATCAGATAGGTTAAATTTGTGATGAAGCACTTTTTTGCTTCATCACAAAGTGGAAAAATAAAATTTCTTAGTAAAATATTAAAAAAAAAATTAAAACAATTTTGTAATTTATATTCATTCTTCATGCAGTGATCTCATAGACTTCCATAAAAAATATTTCAAAAAAGATTGAAAATATTTCAAAAAAGATTGACAAAAATTTATCATTTTTGTCATATTCATTTTTTCAAAAAATATCAGCAATTACAGCGTTGGATGTCCCAATACGTACGTGGAATTCTTGTGCTCCTCATGTATCTTCGTCCGCTATCACCGATTCTGAATCCTTTACACATACTCCTGAAACAGGAAGCACGAGATCGTTACGTATTCCCAGTAAAGAAAGAGTATGCCATTATCAACTGATCACTCCGCTTTTGCTAATTTTCTCAATTTTCGATAAGATCTTCAAAATGTTCAACTCTTCAATTTTTCAAATTTTTAGTTTTAGAGTTTTTTCTAACTTTTTATTTTTTGATATAATGTTAATTCTCGAACTTCAACTGATGAAATTTTAGAAATCATTGATAATTTATTGTATTACTACTCTTTTTTTTAAGTGAATTGTTAAATTTCGAAAAATTGATGTTATTTACTGGGAATGACATCTCTTCTAAACAAATACTTTTACATTATTTTATCAGTTTTACCGTTATAGCATACCAGACGAAGGGAGGAACACGTATGTTTATCTCGATCAACGAATGCATCATCCATTAATCAAGAGAAAAAGCGAATCATCTCAAAAGAAGGATATGGCGGATATGAAATGATGCGTCCGTAAGTCGTTTTTTTTTTCTCACTTATCTGACTGTTTATGATGCATTATTTACAGGATTTACTAACTTTATGCAAATATTGTTAACTTTTTGTGAAAGCAATATTGTTGCAATTATTGGTCATTTTTAAATCAATGTGTCATCCATTTCTGAATCAATGTGTCATCTATTTTTGAATCAATGTATCATCCATTTTTAAATCAATGTGTGTCATCTTCTTTTAGAAGCACTTTAGCACCGCCACCAATGTCTGCAGAAGAGGCATTATGGACAGCGAGAACATGTGGTTCAATGGAAGTATCACCATCAATGCAAGCCTATATTGGAGTAATGACCGCAAAACAAGCTGAGGAATATGTTATCAAGCCTGCTTCATTTAAACTCTACCATATGGTTAAGACCTGTGAATTTTTTTTTTTTTTATTCTGCTCTGCGACATTATATAAGAACAAGGAAAGAAGTTTAATGATTAATCATAATAATTTAAACTTCTTTCAGATGCCAGAAATTAAATCGTTAAATAATGTCCTACCAGCACTTGGCCTTTTTATTATTTATCGAAGTTGTACAGATCGTGTATAGTATGCTTTATATTACTTTTATATGTTGACAAATTAATGGTATTTTTGAAAAATTTTTGAAATTTATTTGCACTCCATTAACAAAAGCAGGCATAAATCTTCGAGAAGATAATGCAACCAAAGGCTTCTAATTCGTATTGTCCACTTTAGAATTCGATTTTTAATATAAATTTGCATTTATATGCTAAGCAAAACCATTGACTCCTATAACAAGCTTTACTATGCATTTTATCCCTTTTTTATTCATATGGATTATTAAAAGATTCTTATTAACTTGATATTAATTAATTAGAGCAGTGATGATCATCTGTAACAAAGAGACATCCAAAAAGAAGATACCTCAAATTTATATTAATATTTTATAGTGGAAATCATTACGAATGGTTTACAAATATCGGAAGTTTTAAATTTTATTCAGCTCAGATTATTGAAAAATCCTTTTAGTCATTATCCAATCAAACAACGTAAGCAAAATGTGGACTACTCAAAGACAAGATCCAAACTTCCAATGCTTACCAATCTTCGAGTTAGTTACTCTCAGCGAGGAATTTTGAAATTTTTTGAAATAATTCCTTGTTATTGAAAAAAATATACTAATTTACATCATGATTTTGAAAGGAAAACGATTAAAAATACAACAGATTATGAAAGCTAAAATTTTGATTGAATCAATGTAATTGTCACTTAAATTTTCTTATTGCTTTTAATTTTTGATAAAACTTAATTCCTTTTTATCATTAACTTTAGCTGTGAAACGTGCAGAGATAATTCAAGGTTATTCAGGTAGAATATGGTGATCCATTGGCACCATGGTTTTTCACTCTCGATGCATTGGTCAACTACTATAACGTTTATGTACACTTACATAAAGTGGATGGCGAATGTGTTGCAGATATATTTCCAGTTAATGAAATGCAGCGCAGCGGTAAATCATATGAACATGAATCATCACTGATTCATTAATGATGACAATGGAACTTTATAAATTACTATACTATTTCATGTTCGTAAACAAAAAAATAAATCAAAATCTGCGTAATAACGGTCTAAATAAATCTATTTGCCTAAAATAAAACTTTGATTAAAGCATTCACATATTGGAATCAATAAATAATGATATTGATTATTGTTAGAAATGCAATCGTAAATTAAAATTTAATCTATGTTCAGACAGCAGGTTATACAATTATACAGATTATACAACGAAAACGCCTTTTTAGGAAAGTCAGCTAGCATTACACCTGAAATGAATCATGAGCTATCAAGCTTAAATTTACTTAAAATGAAAATGTTCGAGCAGAAATTCAAACAAGTTAAAGCACGGTATTAAAGCAACGCGGATCAAGAAGATAATGACTTCCAATAAATTCCGGAAAATATCAGTAATCTCTCTCACACATGACTTCGAAATTCAAAAATCTGGTTCAAAAAGACGAAAACTGTTATAAAAAACAATAAGTTTTTTGTGTTTTGTTATAAGAACATAGTGCGAAATTTTGTATGGCACAAAAATATGAAATTAAACTCAGTCGTATCAGATATTTAGCTAGTTTTTCCTATAATTTCAACGATATGACGTACAAATATCACAACAATGATAACAACAGCCAAGTTCAATTTTTTTTTTCAAGAATCAAGAATTAGAAAGCATTGCCCGTTCTAGTGTAAAGTAATAACAGTAATCACGATCCAGTTGTTCAGAATCGCATTTCTTTAATTCCGGTAACATCTCCAACTAAAACAAGATAGTTATGTTTACGGTAGTTTTGAAATTCAAGAATTTAATTTAAACAACAAATTCTGATAACCATACGCTCTTCCAACATGTTCTTTAAAAGTCTTATTTTACATAGAAAATGCAAAAGTTCAAGATATATGCTAGAAGAGTACTACTTAGACTTTGTTAAGGTGCTATATCGCTGTATCTAATCAGAATGAGCAGTTATTTTTATCGAGAAATCTATAAACCATATGACAGTCAATCGGAGAAAACTTTAAGGAAAATCAAAACGACATAAAAGAATATGTAAAGATTTTTTTCAGGAAAAAAACTTGGATATTTTACCATTACACTACAAATACCTTACTTTATTTTTAACTAAGCTGCTTTCCACTTTAGGATTCAACTTGAAGGGAACATCCTCCACGCCCCGTTTCGCACCCGCTTTTATAGTCAAAGCATTTGCTGTAATGCTAGGCGTCGTTTTATCCAACGTAGAATTGGAATGTCGAAACTCATTTGTCGCAATGGATGGATATAATACAGAAGTTGTGCTGCAAGCAGCATAAAAAATACTCGTTCTGAATTAGAACTGATTAAAGTTACTAAGAGGGAAAGAAAACTGAGAGACAAGAAAGCACCTTTACGACAAATGTGTGATAGATAACTGTTAATCAAACCAAATTTCTTTTTATTTATAAAAAAGCTATTTTGAAAAATCACCTTAAAGAGTTAATAAATGTTTTAAAAAAATATTAGATTAATAATACTTACGATTTACTGCGAGGTATTGTAACACCAAATGATGATGGAATTATAATATGTTTGAAGCATATCAAAATACCATCTACTTCACTGAAATTCAAAAATCCAAGAGAAATTTTACATGCTTTACAAGATGCATGTATCATATATTAAAAGCCGGTAGAAAATACCAAAATAGAATTTTCTACTGAATGAATCAATAAATTAGATAGAGTAAGAAATTTGGATTTCTATTCCAAAATCTACAGTAATTTGCACTACCACATACATAGTTAAACTTTATTTTATCTAACAAAGAATCATCCTAAAAATTTTCATTGATAAACTTATGCTCTCAAAAAAGTAACATATGAAGCATTTTGGGACACCAATAACAACTTATTGCAAGCTTGTGTTTTAATCAAAGCCCAGCAAATATTTCTTGAACAGCCGCTCAGTTCAACCAATAAATACGCTATAAAGAAGATGATCAAGAATAAACGATGGATAGCTGTCCATTAATGAACTCGATTAATCATAAAATTCTCTAGGAACTTTAAGTAGTACTTTCAAAATCAAAGAAGTAATAAAAATTACACAAACCCAGCAGATGAATAATTCTTGGGTGGTTTCCTCATCCTGCTTAATAAAACAATTTCTCCAACGGCATCAACAACAACATCTCGAGCCATCGTACGCACACAAAGATATTTCTTACGTAAGGTTTTTTCCTCTGGAAGCTTTATTAATAAAAAGCAAAGAAGCAAAAACATTTTTTGTTTCATTTAATATTTTTAACAACGTAAAGAACAATATAGAAGCGACCTTAGTTAAACCGTTTTAGAATCACGTATTATACTTCTACAAGAAACCGAATAGAAATATTAACTTACTTGAGTCCGCTGTATAATCTATGGCGATAAAACCCATGGGAATTGGATCGGAGTCTTTTACGACACATAAATCAGTCACAACATGCATACCAACCTAAAAAAAATAACATAAGAACTTTGGTTCATTTCTAATATGTGAAATAGAAGCATATCTTCTTTCATGGTGCAAATATAAAACTTCGAAAAAAAAACTGAGAAATCCATATAATTAAACCGAATTTCAGAAAACGGAAACAAAAATTATCAATTCTTATTTGGAATTCCCAAGATTTAAAACATACCGTATTTTGAGGAGTGTCTCTACTGATTGCCAAATATCGTACAGGTCGACTAAAAAAAGTAAATGAACTTTCCCTCCATAAATCGGCATCATTCTGTTCGTCGAATGTTTTTGTAATCTGAAGCCAAGATGGGCCAAAAATAACATGAACTGAATGAATAGAAAAATTACTAAGCAAAAACGTATAGGTACTACTTAATGGGTATCAAAATTTTTTTAGTGCTGTTCAGTGCAATTCTACGCAAATCACATAAATTAGCTTCAACAAATAAAACTAAGCCAAATTGATTGAACCAAAAAGCTCTTAGACTTTCTCATTCTAAAATATTCGCATCTGAATCATACTGTCATTTTCAGCCATTCATTTTTTGACCACATGAATATATACGCAATCATTGCATATAAGATTCTAAAGAATGACCATCACTTCACTGATTTAAATTAAATTTGAAAAATTGCAACTTAAACATTTTAAACCAATCAATGTTTTTATTAAAAATTCAGAGTACATCAACATATAATGATACATACATGAGTTTAATTTAAAAAGTGCATTTAGAAATGATGAATTTTAAAAGTATATAACTCATATACCGGAGTGAATCCACGTGGACATCGATTTTTATCAGCAACGATAATCACAGAAGTGATCGGATTAACATTTTCATCACCCATATCTGAGGAACGCGTCATCAACATTTCGCTCATCTTCGCAACCAGTCAATAAATCATTGTTTCTTGAAATATAACAGTGCGAAAAATGAATAAATTGAAAAATTTCGCACTGAACTTATTACCTTTCATGATTACAATAACAGAATCACCGATGCCTTGTTATCATATCAATATTTTGTTATTGTAATTGTGAAAGATAACCTATTACCTTTCACGGTTACAGTAACAGGATCACCGGAAGTGATCATAATTAACTATCAAAAGTATCTTCAAGGATTTTTCAAAAGGAGGATACCAATTTAGCGCTATCATACCAATACCTTTATTCCTATCCCCTCTACTGCATAAGCTATTAAAAAGTTATGCTACGTGACTTCAACGCGTCTACCAGCCATATTATCCTGACCTCCCACGTATCTTACACAAATTACGTCGCGTGCTGCTACTATGATCGTAGTCGTGGAGTAAATTTTGTCCGACCTAAGATGAAAATTTAATCCCGTGAATTGTTTCCAATGAGCTCATATTTGTATGCCTTTATTTTTAATGGAAGATATTGCAGAAATTAATGATATTAAATTTAATGAAATTTTTCTAATTTTTAATTGATGATTTACCATTCATTGTTACTTCTTAAATTTTCAATTATAAACTAAAAATGTTCTTTTTTTAAAAAAAAAAAGTTTTTCCTCTCAATTTTTTCTTCTTTCTCTCAAATCAACACGTATGTCTTGAATAAAAATTGTTTTATTTTCTAGGAATTTTTGAAAGAATTATTCGATGAAAAAATATATGCTTTTTATAATAATTTAGCATTAAAATTAATTATATAAGTAACGTATCACCGTGATGACAGCAGCTCCTTTCACTCAGTGTGCTCCTTTTCGTTTCAGTTTTTGTTTCATTTTCTAAATTCCCAACTTGCTTTAAATTTGAAAAAAAAGTTTGTCTTTGAAAAGCATTTCAATCTCCTGGAAAAACCTCCTAAATTTATGAACTAAATTATGAATGCAATATGTTTATTTTAAAAATAGATATTCATAGCTTGTCTGATCGTTAATTTTCCGAAATTGAAAATTTTTTTAAAAATATATGTTTTGTATGAATGTCTGTTTTTAAAATACTACAGAGAAAAGCATTAAATCACTGATATGAATTAGTGATTTAATTAGTAATTTTAATAAGTTATTCGTCCAATGATTTATTTGTACAACTTTTCTCTGTCCACTTATTTTCAATCCTTTTTAGGAGACTGATAATAATAAATTTTATCGGAAAAAAACCCAATGCTCCTTTATTTAATTTCTACTAGTAAGGTCCAAAATATTATTGCGAAAGTGGACAGGAATATTCTTCTTTCTTCAGTATTAAAGATATCGTTTCGCTAAGCTCTAAACTGCAGAAAAATTTGAGAGTAAGTTAGGAAAATTTAAATTCTCAAAAAAAAAAATTTTAACTTGTTGAAGCTGCAAGTAATATTCTGAAAGAAAAATAAGTAAAATTTATATTGGCTTTGTTCCCAAGAAAGAAAAGAAGAAATAGATGGCGGGTATGACAATAATTACAGAAGAATTCATTTCGAAAATCTGGTATTTCTGATTTTTTTTTTGTGAAAGACAATTTTCATAGCAGTATAAAAATATCATTCTGCTTGAAGAATCAATAAAAAAGTTTAGTGGAACACTGGCTGTCATGTTTCTTAAATTAATTCAACCAATGAATTGAAACGATAAATCAACTAATTGATTATCCTCAGGAAATATCATACCATTTCATAAAAAGCAAACTGAGGTAAAATTTAAATAAAGTAGAGTTTAAATGATTATTAGTTTTACTTTCCCCGAATCACACCTAATAACAAATTCTTTTTTCTTCATTTTTCACTATTTTTGACAAAAAAAATACTGTTGCACAGCAAATGATTATCAAATTTGTCGTTTTGAAAATTTTAACTGATTTAATTTTAAATCAAACAGTAACTTCATTCAGTAATCAGTTCAAATAAAAGTTCCTCGATTTTTTCCTAATGATGATTTATCGGATGCATTTTGCTTTTGTGATAATGATGAATCGCTTAGTGATTGTTGTTGAGCAGATGATTGGGAGGGCTGTGTTGCAGATGTTTGAAATGATGATGAGCCTGCTGATTCAAGCTCATTACCGGTTTTTTCGATTGCTTGCAATTCTTTCTGCATTTTCATAGCATACTCAAACATATTTGCATAATGCTGCAAAATAAAATGAAAAATTTATGTCTGTTTGCGCTACTTTCAGATGCTCGCTGGAAGGATGAAAAAATGAAAGATCGATCTATGATGTTTGGACATTTTCAAGAAGAAAAAAAAGTCTGAAATATTTATTCTACAATACCATTCTTTTCTTCAATATTATAAAACTTTAGTAAAATGAACAAACCGAATCTCGCATAGCATTAAATGCGGCATTTTCCTCACTGGATCGTTTCTCCTTATTCCCATCGTCAGTTTCCGAAAATTTCACCGTTGGTGCTGGTGTTGGTGGTTCTGGCTATAACCAACGCGGTTTAATGCAATGAAATGTAAGTGATTTGCTTTGAAATCAAAAAAGATGCAAAGAAAAGAATGATAATATGATATATGACAATTCATTGTTAGCAATGAATTGTCGTATATCATCAAACAGAACTATGTTTATCAATAAATTTTCTCAACTGGAAATTTTCCTGAATTTCACATCTTCTTTGATAAGTACTTATCATTTGTTATATGAAATAATTTAAACGTACACAAAATAAATGTCCCATCGTTCTTGCTCGTGGTTGATATGTTTCCAATACATTTGATTCGTCGAAGAAAGCTTTTCGAGCTCTGAAATTTGATCCTTCAATGTTTTCTCTTATTAAATCTTTAAAGAAAAAAATAACATTTTCAACCAAATTGTATGAGTAATAATAGTTCGTTACTTTTATCATTAATGCAGTATATCACTAATACTACTGCTGTAACTGTAAATCTGACATGCTTGCGCTATCAAATTGCATGTCACGAAATGGCTGAGCGTTTTTGCAGAAAGGAAAATTTCTTTTTTTTTTTCAGATTCAGATTTTTGGTTCATCAATTTTTCATGTTATCAATTTAACGAAAAGATTCAATTTCTTTCTTATATGAGATGTTATGATAAATGAACCTGGTTAAAGCAGAGGAATGTATACTTATCCATACATGCCCAAAAAATGCAATAAATAAAATCAGAAAACCAGCAATTCTGGAAGTACCACTCTCTGAGCACAATATTTGACACAACTGACATATGGAACCCATCGTTATCAGTACAAGTAAACTAACCAACAATCGTAACCTAAAATATCTATTTGATACCGGACATTTCTTTCCATTTAATCAACTAATTACTGGTTCTCATTCATTACTTTCTCTTCTCAAATTTTAAATTAAATAAGTACAATATAAAAACGACAAAAGAAAGCTGTACAAATTTTCAGTGAATAATCAAAAGCGCTTTCCACCACAGATTATTTGAACTGAAATAATGTTTACTTGATAGTTGTCGAACTTCTGGTCGAAGAATCAGTTGGGACGCTTCCGCTCGAAACAGAATGTGGAGATGAAATCATAGCACTTCTCACCATCATTCAAGCGTTCTTCAACACAAAATTAAATTGTAGCAATACCATACTTCCTTCATTATTTATTTATTATAAATGAAAATAGCAGTCACCAAAATTTGCATAATTTTAAATTGTAGATTAAATTCACACTTCCAATTCTAGGCATTTCTTTGCTAAAATGATGGAGAAAATAGTAAAAATGATTACACAGTGGGCATTGCATTTAATGAGGCGAGGGGACGTGATAAGAAACAAAAGCAATTTCAAGACATCATGAATTACCGAAGTTTATTTGCAAGCAGAATATCCTTATCTATCCATTGTTTGCTTGTAAGAAATGAAACAAATTCGATGCTTTAGGAGTATAAAATTAAATTAGGATGAAACATTTATTGTCCCAAAATCAGGATACATATAAACATAAAATAATCATATCATAACAAAATTTGCAGCATATATTGGATTATGCACAATTTCGTTTTTCTTGCAACTTCGTGAACATCAACTGACTTCAACAGTATTTTAATTGATTACACATCCCACTTCGACAAGCATGGATTGTTCACAGAATTAAAATTCAAATTTGACATCGCCTACTTAAACCTTCTGCGATTCTTTCACAGCATCTTCTCATTTCCATTCTTTTGCAAATATTGAGAATCGTAAAGCAAATAAAATGAGCAAAATATAAAACAAAATACAAAGTAGTAAGGAATACGTTTTACTTCAACTATAATTCTAAGTAACCGGCTAAGGACTGCCGAAGTGTAAGTACCAAAGTATCATACTGTTTCACCATTTCCATGTCCTGAAATGCAAGATATTTATTTCACACTCAAATTATCGTCTGAATATGCACTTCCTTATTAGCCGTAATATTGACAAATTAATCATTAAAAAAGGCTAATAACGTCACCTTTATATTTTGTTTAACAGTGACATCTTAACATAAAATCAATAAAGGAAGAAATAAATATAGATTAAAAAAACTTGCAATCTTTTCATCAACATTTCTTGTCATATACCATCGAATGTAATATCCGAGCTCAGATGATGCAATTTCATATACAAGCTCATTACGATTTTTCATAATAATACCATCTCGAATTGCTGCAGCATAACTAAGAAGCAACTTCCCAAATTGCGTAATATATTTGCTGTCAGTAATTTCATTATCGCTCATTTGACGAGCCGTTATCAAATTTAATAAAAAACCCTGCAAAAAGACATGCTGCTCTTTTGAGAACGAATTAGACACCATCTGAGGAGAGCAGAAAAGGAAATCAGGGCACATAATTAATGCACCGCTGTCGAAAGATGGTTAAGTCAGCAAGCTCGCAACTATACTTAACTATATAGCTAAACTCGATGGCAATAAAATAAAGTTGAGAGTCTCAGTAATATTAAACAAGTGCAATAAGTATACTTTTACAGACTTCTTGATAAATCTTCGTCCTAAAAAGGATGCAAAATAAGGCGTGTTTGCAGATGAAAAATGATCAAATTATCAAAATCTAACATGTGACATGGATTTCGAAAATTCAAACAGTCAGTCAAACAGCTATCTGAATTCAAAAGAATAAACCAGACAGTCTAAAGATTCTCCATTAAAAAAACTCACCCCAGAATCTTTTTTTAAGATCATTTGGCGAACAATGTTTCTATTAGATGTCCAAATAGCGCATTTCATCAATAAACTATCCAAAAGTCGCTGATTAGCATAAGCACAGTGTAGGATGAATAATGTGAAATTTTCATCGCCCATCGAAAACTCTTCGAAATGGTGAAGAAAATCTTCGTAACTGCAAAAAGTGTTCCCCAAAAATTACATAACCAGTATACAAAGAAAGACAATAGCCCACGAAATTCAAATTTTCGATATTGAAAACCAATAATAAGGTAGGAATAACCTACAACGATCCAAATGAATCTAATCCGGCAACAGGTTCTTTTAATGCCAAGTATAAAAGCCCATCACGAGCTTTCGGTTCCAAATAATCATGCAAAAATCGACTTAGACATCGTGAAACACATTCATCCTTGAAAATTTCAGGACCTAAGAAATAGAGTAAAGGTAGAAACAGCTAATTTCAAGTCAAGATTGACATAATTATTTATTTTAAAAAAAATAATCTTCATACGGCAAAGAGATTTTCTGAGGGTTAGGTAGCACAAAGATTAATTTTTCTGATTTCAGGAAGTGAAGTTATCTTTCAAATGACAAATGAGAACTGGACCAAAAAAAGAGAAAAAAACATAAACGTGGACAAATGCAGGAAAAGATTAATAAAAGCAATATCACATGCTACATGCATAAACATAACACAGTTTAAAGACTTCTTCCAACGTCCTGAAGAAAAGAAAATAAAGCGAAAAAATAAAATAATTCTCTGGTTGAAGAGAAGTATCTTACATCTTGATCTTATTTGTCTTACGATAATTTAATGATTTTTTAGCACAGCTAGTACTATTAAATTAGTTGCATTTCAGCCAGACTGAACAGAGAAGTAGAAAATACAAAAACATGCTGCAAAAATACTCAATATAGAAAGCATACCACTAAATACAATACTCACCCATTATAAAAATTTCTGCTAAGCGAACGAAAATTTCACTGGGCGTAGCAAAAGCATAGTACAAGGTAGGCCTTTCCACCATAACTAACAAAGTCCAGAATAACGACAGTCGCACTATCACGAGGTCATGAACAGTTGATTTTCTGGAAAACCTACGATATGATAGGTGACAAAAAAATGATCTCAACAAGATACTGGATGAAACCTAGTTTTTTGTCACTTACAATAACAAAATATCACGCAAAATAATGAAAAAACAGAAATTCATACAAGGTTGATTTTCCAAGTTTTTATGCGTTATTTTTCAATGAATTTCTTTGCTTTTACAATTATATTAAAATTTTTGACCTCAGAGAGATTCTCTGCTGTCCGTCTGCTTTATTATGCAATAAAGTTTTGAATGTATTTTATACTTTTGTTTGAAATTAACAAAAAAATCATATTAACAGATAAATTATAAAAAATCAGTACCCATCTTTCTGCATAACATCCAGAACTTTACGAATTGGAGACAACATCCAGGCTGCTTTTCCAAACGGGTCTATACCCTCAGCGAAGTGAACTGATAAATTACCATCCTTGTCTTTCCTTAAATAATGAAATATATTTCACTTTAAAAATTAAAACTCTAAAAACTGGAACACTCACATTTGTAAAATGTATTTGATGGGATGGAATTACCTTTGTTCCAAATATAAACCCTTAATTGCATTTAAGTTGTCTCGAGCCATCTCCAACAAATCATCATCACCAGTATAATTCCTGTAGCGTTTTTTTTAGGTAAAAGATTCTGATAAGTATAAGAAAATTGTACGACAAGGAATAAAACTTCAAATTTGATTAGGAAACTTTCGAAATCATGGAAGAATAAGTTCCATATCCAAACGGCAATTTTTTACTTAGAAAAATTAGTTGGAAAATGTTCGTTTCTAGATACTATCGCTCATTTCCATCAAAATTAGTTTATTCAAAAAAAAAAAAAAACTCTAAACACTTCGGTCGCGTTTGTAAATTATCAAACAGTCTGACTATATTTTGTTGTTGCCGCGGCAATATTGTGCGCATGCATTTCGTTGCCATATCCATTTGTGCTACATCCTGCAAAAATAATGTCATAATCATAATTTCTTCATTGCATATACTGTTATCTAATTTCACAGCTTGTTAATTTGTACCATTTTGTTGTTACGGTGCACGAAGATTGAACCTTCAAAAAAAGTTCTAGCTTGATTTCTAAGTGGAAGCAATCTATGAGATCAATTTCGATCAATAGGACCCACATGAATGTTTTTTATAAATTCCAAAATAACACAATTCCACTACTGGAAAAAACAATCAATACTTAAGATTAAGAAATTTTCTTTTTCTAGAAAAATCGTTATAATTTGATTATCAATTATTTCATCTGACAACACAGAACGAAATAGAAAATAAGACAAAATTACCGCTGCCAATCGCACATATGTGTCATCTAGTTTACTTATTGGATCCTTATGAAATGCTGGATTGTTTTTTTCTAAATCAAATATTTCTAGCTCTCTGATCTTGTTCGCAACTTCTTGATTCGTATTAGTACAAATATCTGATATTACATTATTTGTTTCACCAGTCGATTTTTCTATTTGCTGAGGAACTGAAACTATAACCGTGACACAATTTTAAATATTTCTAACTACAGTCATAGATTTAAATATGCAGACAATCAGTACTGACTCCAATATATGAAACAAATGCAAGCAAAATATAATCAAGTTGTTAATATTTGTAACATTTCATATCTTTAATTAAGTGCTCGTTTTCTTTATCTATTGTACGAGTTACTTTTTACTCAACACACATAATGACCATTAAAACAGTTGAAAATGTTAAGAAGAAGTATAATATATTTTATGTAGACACTATATTACACAGCTAAAAAATCCATTTCTTTTAAACAGGTCAAGTCTGTCCAATTCTCGTTCCGTACATTTGGACTGTAATAACTGCTTGTCATATCAAATGAGCTATATAATATCAGCTATATAATCAGCTATATAATCATAATCCTCAACTTGTATTAGCTTACTTTTCCAATTCCAGAGCTTCAATCTCTTATACAATCTCTTGTTCAATCCCTTGTTCCCATTGTTTTATATCAAAATATTGATAATACTACTTAAGAACATCACCCAATCATCACAAAATAAATATAAAATTATACTTCTTTCAATTTGTTTTGCATTCCACTGTCGCTCCTTTTTCGCTTTGTTCCGCAAGAAATCGAGTAATTTTGGATCTAAAAATCGAAGATGTGCAAAACTTGTCACCATTTACTACAATTAGCTCACTTTCATTCCCTCTTTTTATTTTCCAAAAATCTATGAAAGTTGCAAAAACTCACTAAAACGCTCCACAATTTCTTGCTTCGCTTTCTCAATCTCTTGTTTGCTCATTTTCTCTATCCTTTGCAAATTCTCCAGTTCAATTTCTCTACTGATATCGTTCATCGATTTTGCAACAACTGAAGTTGAAGCTTCAGCTCCATTGTAATCTACAACAGGAACCAAAATTTTAAATAAAGTCGAGTTATTTATTGCTTGTTCGAATTATGAGAATGTTTGACAAAGAGAATAAAAAACAGCACAAAGACTTTTATATTAAAAAAAACATGCAAAAATTCTTACCACCAATTCGACCGTGGATTCTGTCAAATTCTATTGCAAAAAAACTTCTTCCGTTTGCTGGGATATTTTTCACAGACTCATCGAGGCCATTATAATATCTGAAAAATACTAAATATATAGACTCAAATCATTCTGAACTTTAACAGGCTTATTTGTAATTCATGAAAAAAAAACCCACCATCATTAATAGCAATGGTTTAAATTCCGAAGTAAGCTGTATTTAGAAAAGTGCTCACCTAGACAAATCCAGGACATCAGGAAATCCTTCTTCTTCCGCATAATTTTCACATCCCGTTGAATTCTTACAATCATCTAACTGATCAGTATTATATAGGAACTCTACATTCCGCTCCTGGAACAAAGCTTAATATTAATGGAATGAATTGAAAATCAGAATTGAATTAGAATTCTAAGGTTAAACTTAAATCAGAATTCTATGGTTTCTTCGAAAAGACTAAGTTCAATGATCTACATAGTAGCATGTGATTTCGAGGCTTCTGACATAGGATTACTTTTACAGTAATGCTAATTGCTAAAAAGAAATAAAAGAGATGGAGATAATAAAAATTCTCACATTTGTCTTACAAAACTCAAAATAAGCATCACCCGTATAGTAAGTTGCATGATACTTGCATCTTCCTCAGCTAAAGAGTCAAGATTGAGACAGAAATGGCCTGCAAGTTTATCAATCTGTCGACCTTTTTCGGCAAAGGAATTGTTGTTAACAAGAGTTTGTTTCTTGCATTTTCTTTTGAACATCTGCAATACAATAGCTTTCCATTAACAGGATTAATAAAGATTGATAAGGAATATAAATCATTGAATGTTCGAAATTAGACTGTTCCGAATCTCTTGCTTAATCCACGCATTCAAAAAAATTTAATCAAAAAACATCTAGATTAATTTCAGTTACTTAAGAATTAAGTATCATATCAAGAAAATGGCAATTCACATTGCTGAATAATAATAGAAATTTCATTACACAACACTGCTAAACCATTATTGTAACGTAAATTTTTTGAAATTTTATGCAAATAATAGCGATTGTTTTGGAATTTTAATTAATTAATTTGCCATTTGCAAAAATTAAAAATAAATGAATGAAACAAAATACCTCTTTTTGCATCCGAAACAAATCTTCTTCGGTATCATTTGAACTCGGACGTCTCATTGTTTCCATCTTCAGTGAACTAAAAAGTTACAGACAGTGTTTATAATTAAAGTAAATAATGTACATATGTCTAAGAAGGCTACGAAACTTCACAAGTAAGATGAAAGTGACCAGTGAGATTTGTAGTGTGGACAATGGAAAACTTAAATTAGCAATGACCATTCGGGATCTTTAAAAAGTATCAATTAAAGCTTAACCTTTCCTTCTCACACCTCATGATGACTTTTATTGCAGCAATGCAAAAAAGAAAAGTTTTTTGGATAAGAAAGAATTGAAAATTTTCTTTAATTAAAAAATACAAATGCTATAAAAGTTGGAGCGGAAAAGAAAGATGGAATATACGAAATAGTACGATGCGAGCAGCTTTGAAACAGCTGACAACAAGCGCTACACAATGTTGCCAAATATTGAGGGAAATGGTAACATAGCAACGGTTTTCGTTGTTAGAGAGAACGAGAGAGAAACAAAATAGCATGTTGGGGTGACAGTGAGACAAAAATCGGAGAAACATGGAGAGGATCTGATATACGTGGGAATGACAAGTTAGCCTTACTGCCTTAGTGTCGCATGAGAATTACACCAGGTGTTGTTTTCAGTTAGAATAGAACTTTGCTTACTGGAAAAAAAAACTGCTATTTTCGGCGATAAGTGGAAAATTTACCATGATTTGATATTACTTTAAGTGTTGTGGTATAGTTTGAAATGATTGAATTATTTGCTTCCAGGAGGAATTCCTGATATTTGCAATATGGCGCTTATCGACGAATTGTTGGAAGAAGCAGAAAAGGCAGTGAGTGGTAAAGACAAGTTTTTTGTTCGAGCAAATTACACAACACGTTCTCGTTCTTCCGATTATTTATCAAATGCATTCGATCGAGTGATCACTTTTGTTAATGATATCCAGGATAAACCGATCCCCATTCAGATCTGTATTGGATCTACTGCTGGCTGGTAAGTTTTCTTTTTTTTTTTCTACATATTTAATTAAAGCCTGTCGAATGTTTAAGAATGAGCAGTGATGAGATCAAAATTGATGTAATTAAAAGTTTGCATGGTGATATCTATACGATAACTGAATTCGCCATTATAGATACAAGTACTGATCGATAAAATAAATGAACTCTTCTATAAGTTGTAATAGCTTCTTTATATTTGTTATATTAATTTGTTGAGGATGTATATCTGAGATTAGCGAAATATGCTGTTTGTAGAATATTTATTAGGATAAAAGAAAGTAGCACGTAGCACTTTTTATTCGCTCAACTCATATCTTTTATTAGCATATGAAAATATTTTTTATTCAGCTAGAATTTAATCATATTTGTGAGGTATTTAGTAATATTTCAGGATAACAGGATATGTATTCACAAAGGGAAGCAAAATAGTAGCAGGTGTTATTGGGTGCTCTTTGATTTTGCTCCAGGTTTTTTCATATTTTTGGTCGATATTTTTTTGCTTGGCTCTTATTAAAGACGTTATTAGTTGGTTTTCTTTTCCAAATAAGTATTAAGGTTTTCATCGTTACTTCGGAATAAAACTTATGATATGATAGAATAATTATATTCCGGAGGTCAGGTAGCAGCTGCTATAAGTCGTACAATATTTTAACTTCGTAATCATTGCTTCTCATTCTTGTTTCATATGTTGTTTGTTTCAATGCCTTCAACAATATCTGAAATTTGTTTTTATTGTATTGAATTGTGATGATGTAATGTTATTGTAACGTGGTATCCTGTCTGTAACGTTACTTCACTATCACTAACTTGAAATAGATTCTTTAATCGTCGTTATTATGTTTATAGAGAGACATCTATCATTATCATTATCATCATCGCTAGTCAGATGGACCAAACCTATGAGCGTGCGGCAAATATGATTGCCACAATAAAACCATATATTCATTACGTTGTACTTCCTGTCGGTCTTTACGCTGCTAGCCGTTTTCTCTGTTCCTTGATACCTGGACCGCATCATCGCTCGAAACTTGATCTACGCGATCGTGCTGTATTAATCACCGGAGCTAGTTCGGGTCTTGGTCGAGAATTAGCAATTTGTTTTTATCGAAAGGGTGCTAAAGTTATTTTAACAGCACGCAGTATTGATAAGCTGAAAGAACTGTGTGAAGAATTGAAGTCATTGCCAGATGTCATCAATAGGAATGAACCAGTTTATAAATATCTGGATATTAGTGATCCAAATGGCGTTGTGGAACTCGTCTCGCTTGCAACGAATCAACGAATTGATGTTCTTGTTAACAATGCTGGTTTAAGTATGCGTGGAAGTTGCAAAGATACACCGATGGATATACATCGGCAGGTCGGCTTCCAGTGCATTTTATATTCCATATTTCTTTTTATATAATACACTTTCTATTGCAGAAATTACTCGGTTTACATTTTTTAAAATATACTCTCAAAATTACACAGCATTTTATATGATACACTTTCAAAATAACAGAAATTACTCAAATTGTTAGGGTGCTTCTCATCTATGAGACGTAGCGGTTATATAAATAGTTAATGTTTATCATTTTTGGGCAGGTTTATTAGCTTCTGAAATTCCATTATTGACCTGACCTCTTGTAGTTCTCATTCAAGTTCAGTGGCTTACATGGGTTATATCTTTGGAGCTTTTTTAAAACTTCTGAGGCTCATATTAAATTTAAATGGATTTATGAGATCTCAATGTAATGATTTATATTATTGCAAATTAATTTTTCTTATACATAAATTGTTGATTGCGGTATTGTAAAGTGTTAGTAAGTTTTTTGTTTCTTTATTCCAATTTCCAACTCTTGGCTAATTCTGAATAAAATAGACATTAAATGCCTTTTAAGATAATGGAAGTGAATTACTTTGGTCATGTTGCGGTAACCAGAGCATTACTTGATTATATCCCTGAAGATGGAGCAGTTGTGTATATAAGTAGCGTACAAGGGCGCATTGCTGTACCATATCGAAGTTCTTATTCAGCTAGTAAACATGCTGCTCAAGTGCGCTTTTGTTTATATTTCATTTTTATCCCTTCTTCATATTCATGAGATGAACTTCACACTGAAGATTTTTATGGTTTAGCAGTTCGTTGGTAATATATATCTTTTCTCGTTGTTTCACAGGAAAGGGTTGATATAGAAGTGTCGAACATTCATCTTTATCTTTTGAAAAACATATTTAAAATGTTAGCCAGAATTGCAGGCTTTTTTCGATTGTTTACGAACTGAGGAACGATTTAAGACGCAGATTCTCGTTGTAAGTACAACTTATATGAATACGAGCTTTGGGCGTCATGCTCTTACTATAGAAGGTAAACCGATAGATAAGGATGACCCTAACCAAGAAAAGGGGCTCACGCCGAGTTATGTCGCGGAATGCATCATAAATGCTCTCATAAACCGAAACACAGAATTGATTCTTGCACCATTAAATCATCGTTTCGCTATCTTTCTGCGTTGGTTCTACCCTACTCTTTTCTTCTATGTTATGTACCGGAGAGGTCTTAAAGATAAAAGCGTAAAAAATAAGTAATCAGTTGATGTGAACATGTCAGCAATTCGTGGAGTTTTATTAGGCAGGAACTTTCAAAGTAAATTCAAACCTTTAGCTCTGTGTTATTTATTCCACATATTTTTCTGACTATCTCTCCTTAATCAAAAGATGAAATAAAGGTGGAACGTAGTGCAGACAGAATCACTTTCTAATTGATTTTCTTAATTTCATTTTTCTACGTAATTTTTTTTCTTTTGCTGGATTCTGTGATTGATTTTGTGCTTGAATTTGTATTTCATATCCATATATCTTATACACATTATTTGGCTTTAGAGTATTGACTTATTAGCCTTCCATTGGCTGTATTCAAATCATTTGCATTTTTTATAAATGCCATCGCAACATATTTCAATAAAGTACTATAATAATTTTTATGATCGCGCATTACAATGAATAATTTCAGAAAAAGTTACATTATGTTTGTTTCACTGCTTTTTTATGCTCAATTATTTGTTTGTTTGCCATGAGTTTTCATATGTATGTGATCAGATATTTTCGTCGTTCCAAAACTTTGGTTTCATAGATCTCTGTCTTTCCTGATTTAAGTGGGCAGCTGTTACTTGGCTTACTTTAATTTGGCGATTTCTCTTGAAGAATACAGGAGAAGGAAGTATTTTTTTTAGTACTTTCTTGTTAGAAAAATTTTGGATATTACTAAAGACAGCATCAGAATAAAAAAGAAAACACACAGGTGACAAGTAATTTCAAGATAATTTTTTAATACAGAACTCGAATCATGGCCTACTTATTATTTTTTCATGGCTTTCCTAAAGTTTTTTATAGTTTAGCTAGAAGAAGTACCTAACAAAACCGATTGATTGATAGTATTAACAGATAACTACACTGCTGTTTCCAACAGCAGTGTAGTTACCTGTTTAATGGATTTCAGTTTTGTAACTCTCGAGGCTATGTCAAATTCAATCATTCGAAGTTGCAACGTGATATTGAAAAGCTGCGAAAAGATATCACACAAATGACGAGCAATAGAAATACTGTATCAGAGAATGAGGTAAATTTTTTCATTCTGTAAGAATTTATTGTTAGATTAATTAGGTAGATAATGCTGTCTTGTTTTTACTGAAACTTAGTGCGCGGTACATTTAAAAATATAATTCACGAATTTGTTTCTCAAGGTAGTAGTTACTTAGAATGTGATATAATCTCATTATTATCAAGAGTACTAATTATTCTGTTATAATAGTGAAATTTTAAGTATATTATACATTTATTCGGGACGGTCTATATTCGGATCATTTCCTCTCTAATAATTATCATTTGTTTTATTGAATAATATAAATTTCTAGTTTGCTATATTCAATCTATTTATTTTTTTTTCATGCTTTTTGCAGATAAGTGGTTTTCTACGAAACAACACGTATTTGTTGGGTAGTTACAGTGCTGGATTTCTGTTAGGATATACATTTGCATGAATGTAGCTGCGAGGGATTTTGCTAGGATTTCGCCCCTTCAATACGGATAATTTTGTTAATCTGATTAAATAATGAAATATGAAGAGCGGAATCTTAGCAATATTCAATTAATTTCATGCTTTCTTTTATTTTTGTATTATATCCAGAATTAATGCTAAAAATATATACATAAGTTGAAAAGCTTTTTAGTTGTACTTTTCTATTTCTCATTGTTTTTAATTTTATTTGCTTCTTGCGGTACTTTTTTTTCGTTTTTTGCTACAAAATGAGATACATAAAATCGTTCCGTGGACTGTTTGTCATTGGTATGGATCCAACTATTGGTACATTGCTTTATGACATTAAGTATTAATCTTCTCTTTTTAATACATCATTTTTCACAATTTCATATACATAATTATGTAGTTAATATTTTCAATTTATAAATAAGTTCCAGTGTTGAAATGTTTTCCAAAACTTTATTGTCTTCCACATACAATTGCAGAAGTGAAACCTCACTATTCACTGCCTGTTTAACAGTAATTGCAAGTTTTTTCACAGTATCTTTGAGAAAATCTTGGATACTTGTAGCAGTCTGTCTTCTCGCAGTATCTGTTATCATCAGTACATGGGCCTAAAGAAAGTTAGATTACGTTGTGGAAATATAAAACCTGGAAAAAATTTTCTTTATTAGAGATTAAGTTCAAAAGCTGTAATCTAGCTGGTTTCTTTTTAAGCTTGTAATCTTTTAACGATCAGGTAATTCCTTTAAATGTGGATTTCTCGAGAACTCGTTGCTTTATAAAGAACTCTCAACTAGCTGTTATTACCTTCGAAATAAGACATATACCTGTTCTTCCAGGATATCTTTTTTGTTCTCCCAAATATGGTTTATTTGTTGGCTGCTGTATATGTGCCGATGATGATGAAGATTTACGAGATAAATCAGTTCGGCTGCTAATAGATGAACGCTGTGAATTTTGTGTCAATATACCGTCACTGTTTCCAGAGGTTAAACGATGTCCAGATATCGCTGTCGATTGTACAGAGCTACTCCCGATGTCACTGTCGAGAGTAATAACATTATCGTCATCTGGAATATTCACCGAAGGAGATTTGAGTTCGATTATCGAACCTTGTGAGCTTTTTTCACCACAAAAACCACACGTCTTTGCACATTTTGTGCGCGCTTTATGTGGTTGCTCCAAGCATGATCGTTCCGAACATTGAGAATCCTCATCTCTACAATCAACGGTAGCCACTGATGCTTTATTTCCTGAAACTTTGAGAAAGTTAACACTGAAATAGATTGATAAATTTTAAAATTCATAACTGTGATTAGTTAATCATGATTTCTTTCCTTTTTCAATTATAATTCAGAATTTATACCATATAATTTAGTGATGTTGCATGTGAAAAAGTAATAGTGAAGTTTATAATGTATCGGAGATGTTTGTCATACATGAGACCACAAAAAAAAAGATCATAATTTTGATATAATATTTGTAATCAAATATTTATTTCGGTGGAAACTTTTGCGATGAGCTATCACTTCGATCAAATTCGGGAGTTCTGCTTCTCAGGGTACCAATATTCGTTGTATCACGACCATCAATTTCTTGTTTACGACAGAATCCGCAAGTTTTAGCGCAACGTTCTTTAGCAGTGAAAGGATAATCTTTGCAGATTTGTTGAGTGCAATCGATGTTCAAATCAACGCAATCTAATTCCTTATCTTAAAAATAAAATTGAAATTATTTGGTTTATGAAACAGGTGATTGCATTCAATCATTTTACAAAAAAGAAAAAAAAATATTTTTAGGCCAATTTAAATTTAAATCCCTTACACATTCATAGTCAAACAGCTTATATTTCATTATTCAGTGTTTGCCATAATATTTGCCATATAGTACTCATTTAATAAATGCAACATTTTTTTCTTTTTGATAACCATTCAATATAACTGAATGAGGATAAATCTCATATTTATGGATGTCTTAACTTTTAACCTTATGGAATATATTTGAGGAAAACAAANAAAAAAAAAAAAAAATAGAATATCATCACGAAATAATTTAGTATGAACGAACTAAAAGAATGAGTAAATAAAAGGCAACAATTATGTTAGCAAAAATTGCTACGAGACGGAAAATTGAATCTTTTTTCAAGAACTGTTGAATATATAGTCAAGATATGAGATCATAATTTAGTATGATTGATAAATGAATAAAACAAAACAGGATGAATTTCATATCGGAAGGATGAAAAAATTAAACATATAGCCTGTAGCCATATAGCATATTGAATAAATATGATCATTCATGTTTTGAATATATCAAAAAATGTGAAACTTTATAAAATTTCCAAAGTAAATATAGAGTTAGAACCTTTTAAAAGTTTAGAATGTGACGGAGCATTACGAGTGTTTTCATTATCACCATATTTCGAAATACCGCTAGTGCTGCTACCAATACCACCACCACCACCACCACCACGTTCATTCAATCTAATAGATGCATGACGACTTGGTGAAATTGTAGTAAAAGCTATACCATCAAATGAATCACTGCTACAAAATCCACACGTTTTAGCGCATTCCTCTCTAGCAATAAACGGGAAATCTCGGCATGTTTCTTTTTTACAGTCGAAATTTTTATCGAAACACAAACCACTACTGATAGATGAAATTTCTGCAATTGTAAATTTTGACATTATTAATATTTCAAATTAAATGAAAAATGAAATAGAATTGATAGAGCAAAAGATTTATTTCACATTTTGTCATATAATATATACAGATAGGTCGTTGGAATTTAATTTAGGAAAAAAAATTTTCGAAAATTATAGTCTGAATTTATAATTCCAGAAAATTCATTCAGATATATTCACGAATATGAAAATAGCATATGACCTCTTCTGGGTGATAATGACGAAATTGTGCTGCCTCCTCTAGATTTGTCTATTCCAACCATTGTATGATGATGACCTGATGCAGTTGAGCCTGAGCTGGAGGTATCTCCGGAACATAGATTGCATGTTTTGGCGCATCGTTCTTTCGCCGTAAACGGATAGTTACGACAAATTTCCGCGGTACAGTCAGAGTTTTTATCGGTACAAGAAATTAGCGATTTTCTTGCTGCAATAAATGAAAAAAAGAATGAAATGAAAATTTTAATTTGAAAAATTCAACGAGTATGCTCTTCATTCCTAGCAGAACAGTTTGCAATGTTACTAAAAGTACTGTCAGACAAATGCGCTAATGATTTTGTGATATGTAAAATTGCTTATCAACTGAATGCTATCAGTTGATTAAAGGAGGAAAATTTTGATTGAAATTTTGATTTTTATTTAGAAAGATTTTAAAACCAAAAGCCTTTCGTGGCCTCTAAAAAAATCTGGACAGTACACTCAGTTCAAACATCTGCCATCTTAAAATTATACAATTTTTTCATCTCCTGTCCTGAAATTTTTGAATCAGTATTCTTGAGCATGTAATTAATTTTCAATCATGCATAATAATTTTTTTTTTTTGTTCATTTCCTCTTCCTAAATCAATTATCATTATTTTTTTCAATCTGTTCGTCGATGTCGAACTTTGCTGATGTGATGATGAGGATGTCGATGTCAAATGACCAGTATTTCCTGATGATGACGAATCATGACATAAGCCACAAAATTTCGGGCATCGTTCCTTGGCTGTGTATGGATAATTTTGACAGATATCATTTGAACAATCAGGATCTTTATCGTAACATTTGTTAGCACTATTGCTATGCAGAATACCTGCAAGTTATAGGCCCATATATACATTTGAACTTGTAACTGATTTGATATCACTATCATTATACTTATAACTGATTTGATATGTATGTGTGTGTGTGTGTGATTAAGCCTATAACTAATTTGACATTACTATGATTAAGTTCATAATTGTTTGATATCACTATGATTAAGCTTATAACTGATCTGATATCACTGTGATTGACAATTTATTGCTGGTGATGATCTATTTCTTATTTTATAAAAAAATATCACAGCCTTCAAGTTTTTTCAAATTCTTTTTTTTTTGGACCTGAACTGCTGGCACCACAAAAACCACATGTTTAGCACAACTGTTACGAGCAAATTTCAAAAATTTTGAACAAATATTTTTGTTACAAAATGTTCATTTTCGTTTTTTTTTTTTTTAAAAACAGCCATATCTCATAGATCATTCTTGATGTATCGTTCAAGAAAATAGTGCAAACTCAGAAATCGATCATTAAATAAGTTTGCTGTATTCACATACTAATATATTTTCCTTTCACATTTTAGAACCTAATTTTGCATCATTTTCATTAATAATATCAGTAAATCTTATATTTTCAAAACATTTATCAACTTTTATTATTTTTATATCCTTCTTCCCACCTCTATAAAATCTCCTAAATCATTCCCGAATAAAAAAAAAAACTTCGCCGCTCGTCTCTTGCAAAAAAAAGAAGTGTAAGAAATTATTAAAAGTTTCGTGTCGAAATATTAACCATATGTTATTGTAAAATTTATCTCCTTCAAAAAAAAAAAAAAGCCAATACAAATATCATTACCTCTATGTGATCCGGAAATAGCTTTGATGAGTAGCAAAAGGAAAATGAATTGAAGCATTTTGTTGAGGACTGAAAAAAGAAAATCAAATAAAACTACACTTTTCATTTAAATAGCAATGAATGAATTAAAAAAAACGATGAATTATACCTGTGCACGAAAAGTTTGAGCCAAAAAAAATGAAGCAAGAAAAAAATTTGCCCTAAAACTATGAAAAAAAATTTTTAAAAAATGAAGGAATTGTTTGTATTGCTAGAAAAGTAGCATTAAAATTTCACTAAACTATTTCTTTTCTTTCCTTAATAGCTTATTGTCCTAGCTTTTAATATAAAGGAAATATATCTAAAAACTAAGATTTTTTTTTGTTTTTTGCACTGAAATTTTAGAGCCATAATTTGTTGTAATTCATTGTTGAATGATATCAGAAAAATAAAGAAATGAATTAAAGAGGAAAAAAATTAAACTCTGAAAGCATGAAAACAAATCAGGGCATATCTGATGGATTTGAAAATAAAATGAAAGAGCAGGAAAGATTACACGGTTTATGTACATCTTTTCATTTCAACAACACATATAAAATAAATCAGCAATTCATGCAGCTGTTTTATTCACTGATCATATCAAATTGATTGATGATTGAGAAGAATGAATTTAATTTATTTTTTAAAAATTCTTGCAAAACTTTCTCCATTTTCTATTGTAAATACGAAATAATTCAGTGATGAAAATTAATGGACGGAAAATTTTTGCTAAGTTCAAAATGGTTCATAAAAATTGCTTTCAATGAATGCTATACAATTTCACAGAGTTTTCAAAAACTTTTTGTTTTTTTTTTTGAAAATATTTTGTTATAAAAAAAAAATTTCTCATTCGTCGTCTTACAATGAGATAGCGAAATTTTTTCAACTTTTTTTCTCCATTTTTCAAGCTTTATCTTCTCTGAAACGTTTCTTTTTTCTTTCAGAGGAATAGCATAAAATAAATAAAAAGAAATGAGATCAT